AGAACTTTGGAACTTTGGCGCGAAAACGATTAGCATTTGCACGAGTCACGACGAGCAGATTAACTCGCGTGACGTTTATATAACGTTTTAACTCGCGATTGGGAATTTATGGCCTCGAGAAATCGGGACTGCTTGTCGTCGATTTGTCCGGTCGTGTATGCAGATGAGAGACGAGAGAGACGCTCTCTTGCGTAACGTAAATCGCGGACGTATAAACTCGTCAATTAGTAACACGAGTCCGACGTCGAAGGATCTCACAAATCCGAAATGCGCTTAAGGACCCTCGCTCGCATCGTAAAAAACTCGGTCTTTTTTCTACGCGCCCTTGCATGACATATAAACGTCTCGCAAATATTCCGCACTCGCTGATGAGCGCAGAAATCAAAAAGAACTTCCGCAAAAAGGGTCGATTTTTTGCCCGTTTTTCGGTTCTCGATTTTGGAATCGAATTTTATGTCAAAAGATAGTTTATGATGAGACATTAATTACAGAAAAGTTTTACGTTGAGCAATATTGTTGGTTTCAAAGATGTAGAGGGTCAAAGTGGTCACTATCTACTAAGAAAGTATGACACTAATAACATTTTATCGTACGAATTTTTTGCAAAATTCGATATCTATGGGTTCTTCGAGTTGTTGATTATGAATCTGCTGTCAGATTTTAAAAATTCAAGATGACAGGTGCAACATGGAGGACACACATAGTCATTATATGAACAATCATTTACTTTTATTGGAACTGTTATGTTGTGGTCTTTTTGGCTAGCTAATTGCGAATTTTCTATTAGGTTTTCAAAAGTAATTTTTTCAACGATAATTTTTGAGTGGAAAAAATATTTTTTATTGTTTTTTCATAAAAAAATATTAAATTCAAATTGATACGTTATATGACGCATAAAGAATAACGTGATAGTTTTATTTGTTATATTTAGAAACTTATCTTCCCTTCATTGGCTGGATAACTTTTTCATCTTGTTTTTATTGGCTGAATAACATTTTTATCTTGCCTTCATTGGCTGGAGAACTTTTTCATCTTGCCTACACTGAAGGTAAATATAAATCTGATAGAAAATTCGCAATCAGCTAGCCGAAAAGACCACAACATAACAGTTCTAATAAAAGTAAATAATTGTTTCACTATTTGTGTCCGCTATATCCGTCATCTTGAATTTTTTAAATCTGACATCGAATTCGTAATAAGCAACTCAAGGAATCCATAGATACTGAATTTTTGCAAAAATTCGTGCGATAAAATGTTATTAGTGTCAAACTTCCTTAATAGATAGTGACCACTTTGACCCTTTATATCTCTGAAACCAATCGTATGCTCAATGTAAAACTTTTTTGTGATTAATATCTTATCATGAGCTATCATTTCGCATAAAATTTAATTTAAAAATCGGGGACTGAAAAACGGGCACTTTTTGCGGAGGTTCTTTGCCGGAACAAGATCAAGGCAGGTTCGAGAAAGTCGACGCATTTTTAATGAGCGAGTTATGTCGTAAATTTGATTTTTGCCCTATCCGAAAATAAACGACGTTTTCACGCGGCAACATACAAGCGTTTCGTAGATATGTAAACTCGGGCAGTGTTGTATAAATTCGACATCGAGGTGCATAGATCTTAAGAAATCGACACGCATCGGGCAGCCGTTACATTGTAAACACGTTCTCACCCATCACGTAGAAAATAAAAGAAACAGTTCCACGTGACACACGAGAACGTCACAAACATACATGTGAAACTCATCAGCTACTACATCAACCCAACTTCAAAGTAGATTGTAAGAAACCAACAACGCGCGCATGCGACGAGCATTACATTACAAGCAATACGCACGTAGATGTGACTACAAACGTTGCGTATCATAGCTGTTTGCGACATAGTCAAAGTACCGCTGCGCAAACACCGGACAACGTTGCTCTCGCAAGAAGAGATGAACGGGGAAAGACCGATTGACCTATTCTGTAATTTGTAACGACACTGTCGATAAGAGTTACGGAACAGACTCAGCGGAAGCGCTTCTCGTCGATATCGACGAGTTTTGGATATATCGCAAAGTAGCCCGAGAGACAAATATTTCCACAAGTGCTTTTCCTCTCGCATTCGAAGATTGAAATAACCTGTCGAACCTAATTCCATATTTTCGATTATTGACTTTCATCGTTAATTTTATTGATTTTACCGCTTGTTGTCCGCTCATTGAGTAGATATATATTTGAAACCGTGAGATGTGTGAAATAACATTGCACAGACGCAAGTTTTACGACATTTCGCGTGTTTGTATTTATTTAGGTATAATGTTTTTATATATAATCTTATACTATTTATTTTGTTAGTTCCAGAAATTTAAATATTTTTGCGAGCGCGAAAGTCAAGAAATGGTGGTATATCATACTTTCACTCATACAGAAAAATTTATTTCCTAAAATCACATTTTATGACATATTTTTTAAATATCTTTTTAATGCATAAGTTGTATGGGCTGTAAACATTGTGCTATGTTCGCCGAGTTACAATTACGAACAGAACAATACAATGCATTTGCAATTACTTAAAACTATAATTTTGAAAAAATAATTTTATATTACATATGATTGCTTCGATGTAAAATATTCCTTTATTTTCGTTCGCATTAAATTTTCGAAGTGTCTAAAGCGAATAATATGGGGGGTGAGAAAGAGTATGTTGAGAAATATAAAATTTTCAACAAATCTAAATGAATACTTGCAAGAGTTGCATCAAAATATACACACGTCTCATGATTTCAAAGATTTCCTCATAATAATATCTATAGAATTTTTTCGCCTCGGTTTGTTTCGATCCTTAACCCTTTGAATCCATTAAGCCGCACAGGACCGGTTCGCATTGCGACATACCGCTGCAAGTTGACTTTAGTTCCAATGGTTTATGAAATAACTTTCGAAAAAACGAAATTCTTTAACAGATAACTTTCTAGCTGAAAAGCTGATATACACACTCCATATTGCTCTAGATGATTTGAGTTCAAAGGGTTGAACATGCGAGAGAGCGCTTGTGAAAGAATAAAATAAGCAATAGAGATGTGCGAATTAAGAATTTTTATGTCGAATCGAATCGAATTTCATTTTTTAAATTCGAATTCGAATCAAATCTATGAAATTTCACTCGAATTCGAATCGAATCGAATGAAATTGAATCGAATCATTAAAAAATTTAACATGACTATTAAACAAATAACGATAGAAGATTTTAATATGAAAGGGAATATTGATATTGTGATATAATCTTAAAGTAAAATATATATTTAAATAATTAAAGTAATTTATAATTAAGTTATTAATTATAAATTAAGTTAATTACAAGTTAAGGGTTCAAACATACAGGTCTAGATGGCCCATTTTATAGTTCATGCATGCAAACGATAATATATTTGATTCCTATTCGAATTATTCGGATTCGAATAATAGGGATTCGAATTCAAATAGTTCGCACATCTCTAATAAGCAATATAGTCATTGATATTTTTACATCCATTGGCAATGTATATAGGGTATCCCAAACCACGCGGATCACCTAATTTTTTTTTTGTAAACGCGATATTTTAAAGAAAAATGTTTCAGACAAACGTTAAATGGTTTCAAAGGAAACATAAAACAACTATATCATTCTGTTTACAGATGGCGCCACTTTCGAGATATTCACTGATCATTACTTTTCTTAAATGGGAATCCCAATTTTTTATTACATCATCTTTTTCTACCAATCAATTTTAACAACTTTTGTTTGAAACATTTTTTATCTGCCTAATATTTTTTGAGATATTTAAGGAAAACCTAATAACTTTTTCAATATTTTACTCACGATATCTCGCTAACTATTTGTCGGAAGAAAAAGTGATATTAGACTTTATACTCGATTTGATCTCAAGAATATATTGTTATAAGAGTGCCCTTTTTTTGATGATTTTGAAATTTATAAAAGTCGATAAATTAACGAAAGTTACGGTTATTTTAACTATATATTCTTGAGACTAAATAGAGTAAAAAAGCTTAGTGCTATTTTTTCTTTTGACAAGTAGTTATTATGACAAAGGTTATTATGAGTGAGATATCGTAAGTTAAATGTTAAAAAAGTTTTCTTTAAATATTACAAAAAATATTAGACAAAAAGATGTTTCTGACGAAAGCTGTTCAAACTAATTGGTGGAAAAAGATGATATAAAGAAAAGATGATGAAGAATTGGGATTTCCATTTAAGAAAAGTAATGACCAGTGAATATCTGAAAAGTGGCGCCATTTGTAAACAAAATGATACAGTTGTTTTATGTCCCCTTTGAAATCATACAATTTCTGTCTGAAACATTTTTCTCTAAAATGTCGCGTTTACAAAAAATATCGGGTGACCCGGGTAATCTGGGACACCTTGTATAAGTGCCTTGAGAAATTAAACTCGTCCAACGTATTAACGAAGAGCGTCTGGATATAAAAATACATGCTTAGCAACAGCATTACATTCGTATGCAGTTGCTCTTCACTAATACGCTGAAGCAATTTTTTCTTAAGGTACAAGGTTTCTTTTGTACATCTTTATCATTATAGAAATGTGGTTTATTATGTTGCTTACCCTATGTCTCTGATTTTTTCTGTTTTTTATATTCTGCTTGATATATCCAATCATTTCTCGAGATCGACGGAGCACAATCACTGATTGATAGAAAAACTACCCGCCATTTTTTGTGAAAATTTTAAGACACATCCGCCATGTCCAGCGAGAAGATTTGTTTGCCGATAGGAAAATTTCTCCTTGGACAAGACGGATGTGTCTTCCGAAAACTCATTCGAAAATACAGCGGGCAACTTTTCTGTCTACGATCGTGAGCATTTGTAGAACTTCCCTTGCGAGGACGATTCACATAAAACTACATCGAATTTCGACGCAATACTACCGTAGAGATCCCGTAGAGAGCGACTCTGGCAGGAGATCACCGCGAATTCTAAACAACCAATATTCGTGTTGCAGTTGATTTTCAGTGGCGAATACACGAAGGCGATGAACAAGGACTGGCACAGCGGCCACTTCTGTTGCTGGCAGTGCGACGAATCCCTGACAGGACAGCGCTACGTCCTCAGGGACGAGCATCCCTACTGCATTAAGTGTTACGAGAGCGTGTTCGCCAATGGCTGCGAGGAGTGCAACAAAATCATCGGCATCGACTCCAAGGTACTGCTGTTACGTAAAGCACACTTCGCGTAACTTCTTCAAACTCGGACGTTTCTATTCCCCGCTGACTCGTGAGGGGGGGATGGAGGGAGGAGAGTATTTAAATTGCACACAACATATCCAAGTTGAATAACAAAAACGTTCTCTTTCTTTCAACCAGCAAGTATGTAGAAGGCGAATAATATGAAACGTGACTAGATATAAGGCGCGATAATTTAAATTTTAGCGGGGAAATTTAGTTCTCTCTTTAGTTCTAAAATTCAAATCATCGCGCGCAACATTCAGCGACGAATATTATTAGCATTTCGTTCTTGCTGATTGCATACCATAAGAGTTTTGAGATATTTTTTTTTTATACTATGTATTGAGATATTATTGAGTCGAGTTGTAAATAATTTCTAAGGCAGCAAATATTCATTTTCTTCGGATATTCGCAAAGCCATTGAGCTGCCTATTAATTTAAAACGCGGGTGTTAATAATGGCGAATATACATAATAAACTGCTTCACGTTTCTAAATTAAGTAACATATGATACAGCATTTCGTACCACAGTAGCCGTTTATTATGAAATGAATACTAATTGATTTTCACATCTGTATAATTTTCAAGGAAGATCCTTTAAGATCAAACTTACCATATTTGCTGAGACAGCTTGAAATTTAGTAGAATTTAATAATTTTACATATTTGTATATTTTTCAATAGCAAAGACAGTCTCACGTCTCTCTTCCTAGTTTTAAACATTAATATCTTTTTTTATAAAAAATGATCTTATCCTTATCGTACAAAATGCCTCATAAATTATATATTTTATCATATATATTATATATCATACATTACATTATATTAAAATCAATAAAACAATTTTATTACATTAAAACTCAATGAAAATCAATTTAAATTTATTTGTTAAAAAAGGAAAAATCGCCTACGACTCAGCTCGATACAGATCAAACAAAAACACACGCTTGTCGTGATGAATAGCGTGAAAAGAAAATATTAAGTTCACGGTCAGGGCCGTAGGACATGAAATTATCCTTACGATCGTTCAGTCCTTCCGTTGAAGATCGGGTCGTACATTTTCACGGGTACGGAAACAATAAATTACTGTCGTCCGCCGCGCTCGGCCTAAAGACGCAACTAGCGGTGGCCGTATAATTATGAGACCAGGTGTCAATAGATGGAGAGTCGTCGACTTACTCATTTCTAGAAATAGCGGCGATGATGCAGGTGTAATCGGCTACTACCCGTACGCGTCTCGGTCGCGAGGAGCAATTTCCGCTCCTTTTCTCTCGTTCCTTCGCGACCGTCGTCCTCGCGAGAGAGAAAGAGAGAGAGAGAGAGAGAGAGATCATTTCTCGTCTCAGTGCTTCTACGAGGAAAATCGACGTCCCGGCTGGGGAAAGCGAGCGTCTACGTCATCAATTTTCCGCATTGTCTTGCGCGCGCCGCCGCGAATTGTGTAATGATCACGCGATTGATAGTTCACGGGATTGCAGCATCTGCGTCGACGGTTTCCTGAAGTCGTCTCCCAGGCAGCACGAGCGATCGAGCGTTGTCGGACACCGTGTGTATAAGGTACCTGACAAGTAACGGCATCTGACGCTCGACTGCGGACAAATCGCATCGAAGTGAATGGAAAATTCCTGTACCATTTTGCAAACCTCGCGATGGTTAAGTATTAAGAAATTAATGAACCATTAAGAAATTAATGAAGCATTGGCCAGTAAAAATCGCGCATCATATTTTGTAACCATTTTGAATTTTGTTTTTTTCCTATTTATGTTTCCTATTTATACATTTAAAGGTGTATGCTGCCATCTATGAAAGACGTATTTAATCTTTTCACTGCTGAATTAACTTCCCTTGAGAAAATTATTAAAATATTTGGTAGTCCTACGCTTTTTAGATCGCTGATTACGAATCTAAAGTCAGATTTGCAAAATTCAAAATGGCAGACTCCATATGGCGATCATGATGTACAAAATTAATGAAAATTCCAATTATTATTGATGGTGTATGGGTTTTTCGGGTCGCTGATTACGAATCTGAAGTCAGATTTGCAAAATTCAAAATGACGGATTCAATATGGCGACATAATGTACGAAATTGATAAAAATTCCGATTATTATTGATGATATATGGGTTTTTCGAATCGCTGATTATGAATCATTATCTGTAGCTGATTATCTTTTGAGTAAAATAATATTGATAGTATGGATAAGATGGAGATACAGAATGAAAAAGCTAGGAATATAGAGCTAAAAAGTGCAAAAAAATAAAATTTCGGCCGTTTTTGTAGAAATATTTGTTTATAAAAAAGAACCTAACCTGCAAAAAAATACTGAAAATAATATATGTTGTACAACATCAGAAAAATATTTGGTGAAAATTTGAGACCTCTACATTCAATACTCTCTGAGGAATCGATTTTTCCCTAAAAAACGCATTTTTTTCAACTTTGATTTGTTATAAATAATCACAAATGAATAATTAGGTATTAAAAACCTATTGGAGTATGTTGAACAACTACTCAGTTATCTGGAAAACTCAAATCCCCGATTAATTCTTCAAAATTATGTGATTTACAACGCAAAATTGAATCAAGAAAAGGTGGAAACTATACTTCCCACCAACAGTGAAAGGGTTAAAGAGATATGCTGCGTACCTTTGATGTATCCTTAGACATAACATAGTCCTTATAAGGATACGCCAGGACTCAAGGGCTAATTTTTTAATAATCAATGCTAAATGTTTGCAAAGTCGTAAGGGACTTTTTTCTTCACTTCGACGCATTCCATCCGCACACGCACGTTGTGTCATTAATTATCAGACACCCTCTATATTTTTGTGCACCAAATAACGACATACGGTATCGCGGTATCATACGCCTTTATCGCGAGATCTCACGTTCGAGAGGGCTTTATCGTCGTTTATTGCTGGCCGTTCCGCTCGTGCTCGTCCATTGTTGGAGACTTTTACTGCGACTCCGTGGCGAGAACTATTTTTGCACGGTGAAGCTAATCCGCTCGTCCTTCGCTATTGTTTGCTACGCGACGAGTGAAGTTTATTTAGAGCTTCCATCGGTAACGACGATGTCTGCTCTAACATAACTCGTCTGAAACTTTCCAAGTGAGATTGGAAAGTTGCGAGTTCCTTTCTCATTATATTGCCGCTTATAAAGATCCTCTTTGATGACGTCGCTGAGTGTTTTGTTAGCGGTTGCCTACGTTCGTCTTGATGGATTATGCAAAAGTTTAACTGATAACTAAATTGTCGGATACAGTAAATGAACGTACTACGAGATTCATACAGCTTTTCCTCCGTCTCCCGCTAACTTTTTATCGATGATTCTCTGTCTTCTCTATAACCGATTTTCATATGCATTATCAGTTATAATTTATGCACGATTCAATGAGACGCAGTATTATAGTACTTGCCACGACATTCAATGCGTGAATAGTGTGTTTATTATCGCGCTACGACAAATGGGCGGATAAATCGATATCTCACGTTTCACATTCTAGTGTCTTTAAAACATTTAGATACGATTGGAAAATGTTCAACGGTTACTAAAATAAATTAATTAAAATTTAACTAGAGATTTTTGGTGTAAATATGTGACACCGAAAAATCTTCGGCCAAACTTCGGTACCGTATTCCATTTTTCCTAAGGATGATAAAAGGTCATGTAAACACAGGTCCGGAAACTCTTCCTTTTTAAGATACAAACACTTTTTTGTTTATGATCGAATATTGTAGGAATATTTAAAGCTTAATTAAAGAAATTGCTGGAACAGATTTCCTTCTGCAACAATATATACTTCACATCGACATTACAGAGACTGTCGAAGACCTTCAAAAATTTCTGGTGTATTCCGAATTTTATCACATGTGGCAATAATCCGGTTTTTGAGTGTTTCCAGATTATCAATAATATTATTATCATAGATTAAACTTTTAAAACTTTATGTCCTCGCAAATAAAAATCTAAAGGAATCAAATCAAGGGAGCATGCAGGCCAGGCAATTGGCTCTTCTCTGCCAATCCATTGATTGGTGTAATTGTTATTAAGATATTCTCTGGCAGTTTGAACTAAAATGAACCAGAGCTCCAACATGCATAAACCACATTCAAGTGCGTGTTGCCAATGGTACATCTTGTAGAAAGTTCAGTTTCCAAAAATTGTGTATGATTTCTACTGTTGAGTGTAAATGAAAGAAAAACTAGTCCAATAAGCAAATCTAATCATATTTGCCCACACGTTACATGAAGACTGATATTGGTATCGAGATTGATTATGCGTGTTAATTAAGCTTCAAGCATTCCTACAATACTCAATTACAAACAAAAAAGTGTTTAGATCTCGGAAAAGAAGTTTTCGAACTTATGTTTACATGACCTTTTTTCATCCATAGGAAAGGTAGAATACGGTACGGAAGTTTGGTCACTTTTTTCGGTGTCACCTTATATATGATTTATTCATCGATGTCTAAGTAAACATGGGGAAGTAAATCCGAGTTTTTTTTTCACTAAACGAATCATCCTCAGAAGCGCACTAAATAGAGTAACGGGAGATGATCATACCTATTAAATTTTATATAGTCTAACGTAATTGGATTAATTAATCTTATTTAATAATCCGCTATAAATTACTATGTAATTCAAAATAGTATGTTACTATAAATTAATATATTATTAGTGTATTACCATTATGAATTAGTAATTATATTATAAATAATTAATAATTATAAATTAATAATCATTAATTATATTTTTCATTTACTATTTATATTTAGATGTTTCAAATGACGTTAAAACACTGCGAGACGCTGATTTTCCTATCCGTCTCTTTCTTTCTTTCTTTGAATTTTAGCAGACTTTGAAATTTAGCAGACAAGAATTGACCCATTCCGAAAAAGAAATACATAAAACACGTGTCATGATCTTGCCGCCGTTTAACTCTGCGTTAACATCACTTGCGGTCTTACTCTTTGTAGTTTGTATCTTACGACAATGTGACGATGAGCAAACAACCGTGACAATTGCGTGACAACCCGAGACAACGCGGGAAAATTCCGCGCGACCTGTCGATAACGAGCGAGAAACCGCGAGAAACGAAAAAGAAAAAGATAAATAAAGTATCATGAAATACGCGCAGATAGCGTTGATCTTTCCCGCGAAACCAATTTTCGAGATAGGCTCTTCCGCGATCCTCGATTTTATTACACGACGAGTCGCTCACGTTCGAATAAGATAAGCGAGCGAAAAGCGTAGAACGCACGTGGACTCCAGTGCGATTATCAGGATTTCACTTTGCAGGATCTGTCGTACAAGGATAAGCATTGGCACGAGGCCTGCTTCCTCTGCAACAGGTGCAGAGTGTCCTTGGTGGACAAACAGTTCGGCAGTAAGGTGGACAAGATCTACTGCGGCAACTGCTACGACGCTCAATTCGCCAGCCGTTGCGATGGATGCGGCGAGATCTTCCGCGCTGGTACGTAATACATTCCTTAACGAACCGTAACGTAGACGATCCTTCGTAAGGAGGGAGCAAAAGAGCTCCTCGAAATGCCGCGAGATCCCAAGCGCGCTGCAACTTTGATGCGTCGTCAAACAGACGCAAGTGGACTTCGTTAAGCTTTGAATATCGCGCATTTCCGTCGGATGGAAAGAGAATAAGATTATACAGGGTGTCCCATTTTAACATAGATACCGAAATATCTCGAAAACAATGTATTTTCGAAAAGAATGTTTCAAATAAAAGTTGTAGGATTTAAGGAGATCATCAGATGAGTCACTCGCTATTTAGATTTTAGATCCGGGGCCCATTAAGGCCCAGATAGAGCTCAAAGTTCTTATTTTGAAACACGTTCCGTCCATTCCGATATGTGAATAGAACATACGCACATTAGCAATGAGTGCTATTGACGATGAAGAAATAAAATTATCTTTTCGAGGTCCTTCAATGTTACCTCCAAGGATACATCGTCCGCTGTTTTGCCCTCATTCGCTGCGCTCATTTTGCGCCTGAGGAGGAAATTAAACGAAAAATTGAAACAAACAAACTTTCTTTATTTTTTCGATAGAATATGAACCTATAATAATAATAAATGAGTGTTTTCATAAAAGAAATTAATTTGGGCCTTATTGGGCTCAAAGTGGACCCCAGACCCATAATATAAGTAGCTCATCTGATAATGACCTCCTACAATTTTTATTTGAAATATTGTTTTCGGAAATGTATTTTTTTCAAGATACTTCGGTGTTTCTAAGTTAAAATAGAACATCCTGTGTATATAATTTTAAAATTCTACGCTATTCTGTACATGTGTAAGTAAGTTATATTAAATGAACATGGTTCTATATAATGGATAAAAAATCTTGACTGAGACAAAAATATCTACAAAATAAAAAAAATTTTATTTACTAAAATTTTTATTGAAAACAAAATAAGGAAATAAGGGAATTTTCAGTAAAAACAATATAAAAAATTAAGGCTTCCTCGATTGACAAAAAGGCGCATATTGATAAAAGATCAGATACTAAATTTGTTCGATGTAAGTCCTATAATTGGCTTTTTTATATCCGACCAACAATATATTTATTTAATTCTAAGTTCTTTTATTTAAATAAAAAAATTATAACTAGTAACTATATATATAAACAGTGTCACTTTCATATATAGTGTTGCCCTTCGCTAATATTCTAGAACAGGGGTTCCTAATCGGGAGTGCGAAAAAACATTCTTGGAAGTGCGAGGAAAAGCGATTGTAATTAACAATGATTAAGATGAATTCTGGAATAATCCGACCATCAAATTTTTACCATCAAATTAAAAAAAATGTTATTAAAATTATATTATATATTTTTTACGTATCCGTACGTACATATTCATTACGTATCACTATGCGAAGCTTGATACCATGGATAATAATTTTATAATGTTAAAATGATAGTTAATTTCTATAAAATAATACTATGTAATAATAAATTATTATAAATTAACTTCTTACCTTAAAACCCCTGCTCTAGAATTTTTGCGAAGGGCAACACTATATATGAATGTGACACTGTTTATATATATAGTTGCTCGTTATAGTTGTTTTTATTTAAATAAAAGAACTTGGAATGAAATAAATATATTGTTGGTTAGATATAAAACAACTAATTTTTATTATAAAACATACGAATAATTTTTTTTGCGGGAGGTGCAAAAAGTTTATTAATAAATTTTTAGGGATGTGAAATACAAAAAGGGTTGGGAAACCCTATGCTAGAGGTATTTCATTTCTCAAGATTTTCTATATGCTCTGCCAATGATTGTATCGTTTACGTGTACTATTTTCCCTTCGCTATAAAACTCAAGAGCGACTATAAAATCTCGATATTTTCATCGAAAAGATATATCGATGAGATAAAAACAGAATGAAATTAAAGTCAGAAGGCTTTTGGAGATTCCGTTTTGGAGATACAGAAACACATCGTGTGAAGCGAACATAATTACATATAATCATATAATCACGTGTAATCGGGAATCTTCTTTTCCACGTGTCACACTTTGTACGGAAATCTTATATCTATTAACCTCTCAAGCACATCGGCAAATGATCATTTCAATGTCACAAACCATTTTCGTTCGCTACGCGTCACCTTCGAAAGTGTTCTTATTAGTCATCTTCATTAACGAATTGTCAACCGTGCGAGTTATGTCTCATTAGGCTTACCGCACATTTTTTTGCGAACCACGTGCGATGACATATCCTGATTTAAAGTTTTACAACTCTCATTGTACGGGAATTAATACCACGAGATTTAAAAATAAAACCGATTGTCATTTTTTAAGCTTACTGACAGCAGCCTGATCTTTTGAGTCAGTCGATAATGTATTGTATTACGATATTTTACTTTGAATCGTTACTTCCTACGATAATTACATCGATAATTGCATTAATTTACTTACATCTTCCGTGTCGCAAAAAGGGATTCGCCCTTATAAATAAAATAAAAAACAAAATTAATTTGTCAGACATCGAGATTTAATCATGTTGATTTAATCTTTATTTATTTTAATTTATTTTACTCAATCACATGGTTTGTCTTCTGTTTGTATTATTGTTTCTCTCTTCTCTTCTTATGTGTAATGTTTTTAGTCGTTTGTTTGATCTTCTTTCTCCATCGGCCAATTTTTTATATCGACCGATTTCTTTCCTTCTATTGACATTTTGTATTCTACATTGACAAAAGAATTAACTCACCCATGAAAAAAGCGATACATTTTTAACGCCTCGACGATTGGTAATTCGATAAAACGATACAATTCGCATTCGCAATTCGATTAATCGACGATTCACCAGGAAACGGGGAAGATTGACAATATATCGAAATATGCGAACTAACGAAATATCGAATATACAAGCTATTAAAAGATTGAATTAATTCTGGTTTTATCTTGTCAATTTTTTTATCTTTGTTTTAAAGAAATGGTTAAATTTACATCAATCAAAATATTTTGCATCGTTAGCTGTAACTTTTTTGCCCATTTTTTGGCAACATAGCGATTCCGCGATAGAAAAATCTGTCTTTCAAAGCAATCCAATTAGACACTCGTTTCTGCACATCCTCATAATTATTGAAGTGTGTATCTGCTAAAGCGTGTTGCATCGATCGAAATAGATGGTACGTAAATAGATGGTGCTAGGTCTGAAGAGTACGCTGGGTGCAAAAGGATTTCCCATTCGAACTCTAACAATGTTTGTTTAACGATTGAAACAGCATGTGTGGACGAGCATCATCGTGCAAAAGAATCACTTTGCGTCTATTACTGGCTATCGCTGGCCTTTTTGCATTAATTCATCATTCAATTTGCTCAATTATTGCTGGTATCGCTCTCCTGCAACTGTTTCATGTGATTTTAGAAACTCATAATACACCACACTTTCGATATCCCACAAAATACAGAACAAAATACAGAGCATTGCTTTATAACCGTGAATATTCCGTTTTGATGTCGATGTTGATGGTTGTCCTGGATCAACCCATGATTTTTTCGCTTTGGATTACCAAAATACATCCACTTTTCATCTCCAGTTATAATCCGCCATAAAAAACTCTTTTTTTCTATCTGATAAGCAAAGACATGGTGATATTCAAACGATTTGCAGTAGCACTTTCCCTCAATGCATGTGGAACCCATTTGCTTTCCTTTTGAATTTTTCTCGCGACGTGTAGGCGTTTAGAAATTGTTGATTTATCGACGTTGAATTGTTCAGCCAATTGTTTTTCCGTTTGTGCGGTGTTTTCATTCAATAATGCTTGCAATTCAGCATCTTCGAATCTTTTTAGTTGATCAGTACGTCCTTTGTCACTCAAATTGAAATCACCACTTTTGAATCGTTGAAACAAAAATTTACAGTTGGAATAGAAGTTTGATCACCATAAATTGTAACAAGCATTTCATGAACTTCAGTTGCCGATTTTTTCAAATTAAATAAAAAAATAACGAATGTCAAAAATACAATTTTGTACGATCCATTTTACACATGTATAAACAATAAAACTATCATAGTAACAATAGTGCGCAAACTGTCATATGTTATAGAGCAGGGGTTCCCAACCGGGGGTGCGAAAAAACATTCTTGGGGATGCGAGGAAAAGTGATTGTAATTAATAATGGTTAAGATGAATTCTAGAATAATCCGGGATTTTTACCATTAAATTAAATTAAAAGAAATGTTATTAAAATTATATATTTTTTACATATCTGTACGTATATATTCATTACGTACCACTATGCGAAACTTGATACCATGGATAATAATTTTATAATGTTAAAATGATAGTTAATTTCTATTAAACAATACTATCTAATAATAAATTATTATAAATTAACTTCTTACCTTAAAATCCTAACAACTAATTTTTACCATAAAACATACGAATGATTTTTTTTCCTTAGAGGGTGCAAAAGTTCATTAATCAATTTTTAGGGATACGAAATACAAAAGAGGTTAGGAAACCCTGTGTTATAGAGAAATGTTAAATCTTTCAGTATTGCCAGATTTCAACATTCGTTCTAACCATTAACTTATTGAAGTCATCTATTGCTAGGGGCCAGAATTAATTCAACCTCCTAATAATATCCGAAAACAGTCATCCCCCGTCTCTTCCACTCTCGTACCCGCTCGTGCCGCGTTAACGAGTGCTTTTCGCTACCTTCTCCCTTCGCGCTTCGAGCCTCGGAAAGTATACTGCTGGAACACGTGTATTCCAGGGACTACGTAAATGGCCGCGGAGTTTACGACTTCGCGCCGGTAGTCTTCGTCGTGGTTTACTGCCTCGTAAAGTCTCGCGAAGAATTCACCCCGAGGCCGTTGTCGGGTTCCGGCGAGATTGAGGACGCGCTTCCGAAAATGCGGCTGTGCCGCCGCCGGTGAGAGAACCGCCGCGGAGAATAGAAATATCGCCGGGCGGTGAAAGGTCGAACGAATCTCCTAA